AAGGCTGCACAGTGTTTAGGGTTTCTTCCAACTCTGGGAAGCTCCAATGCCATAATCATAAATTAGCACAAATTGCCTTACTAGCAGAAACATATATTACATGTACCTGGTGCTTCAGACACTTCTGATGCTGCTACCTATATTTCCTACCTGGATTCCATCTGATTAGCTTTTCTAGAGCAGCCTCCATTCACGTTTCCAAATAACCCATCTCCGAAGAAAAGACTTTTCTGAGATGCTCACCAAGACTTACCCCAGTTTCTGCAGGTTACATCCTGGATGCTTGACCTTTTCGCATAACATTTCTACTCCTGAGTCTCCCAGGGCATTTTCCCCCACGTAGAGTCTTGTCAGGGACTGGTTGGTGCTCAGAACTGATGCAAGATCCTGACAACATGCTGATGTGAGAAAGCAGCTGACCAGCCTTCCAAAAAGACAGCAGATTGTCATGGTCAGGTCTGTTGCTCATTCTTGCAACGTGACCTAGAGGCTCCCGGACCCGCCCTTGTCACAAGGCTAGTCTACACGTGGAGGAACGTGGGTCCAGTTCTACACAGCTTGGTGTAATAACAAGGCAGTCCTGTCCATGCTCATCCCACACTACATTCCCAGATCCCTGCACTTACTACTGCTGCGGTGAGATAGCTACAACATGACATTGCCATGTTGGCCATTCCAAGGGCACGATGTAGAAGCCTAGCGTGCACTCACCTGGTCGTGCAATCATTGCCACCATCCGTCTCCAGAACTCGTAAAAACCTGAGACTCCATACCCATTAAACAACTCCCTGTTCCCTCCTCTGCAGGCCCTGGCAACCACCCTCCTACTTTCTGCCCCTATGAACTTGAGTATTCTATACATTCTTTAGGTATTTCTTTTACCCTCAATCACTGTACATCATTACAGCATACCAAATAAATTTTCCCATCATGAATACATTGTATATTTGTTCAGTCAAAGATATTACCATACACATTATAATCAACAGGTAGTTTTCCATTTTTGAGTCCCTTAAATGTTTTGCTTCTTTCTTTTTCCCTGTGATTCCCTTCTCAGCCTCTCCCATCCCTCATCCTCCTCTCCCACTGTCCCTGGCATCCTCAGCTGCTCTCGGTGCTTTTATACCTCCAGTCTTTCAGTTTCTGCCCTGGAGTGCAGACATCTGTTATATATTGGTAGGGACATACAGTGCGTCTCTTTCATAGTCTGGCTTGTTTCACTTAGCAGTAAATCTTCCACATTTGTCCACTTTCTATAAGTGGGACCATATAATAATTGTCCTTTTGTGTCTGGTTTATTTTATATAGCATAATGTCCTCAAAATTCATTGATGTTATAGTATATGTCAGAGCTCCTCTTTGGGCAGGGCTGTGTACATGTAGATATCACTTCTTTTTTTCTAGGGAGAGATTTTTGTGCATGCACTCACTGGAGAGATAGAGAAACAGAAAGTGAGAAATCACACCCACTTGCTCCACCCCCAGGAGGATGGCCATGCCACAATCCCTTCTCCATTCTCCTCTCAGGATTTTGGGCAGGCACACGCATGCTCCCAGCATGCGTGTGTTTTAAGCCACCAGGTCCAGGACTCAAACAGAAGTTGACTGTATGGAAGTCTAGAGACATAGCCATTACGCCATCTGCCGGTCCCACCAGTTCTTTTTTTTAATCATTCTTTTATTCTCTCTTCTTTCATTTTCTTATTTTTTTACATTCATTCTCTGTACATCTTTACAGCACACAAAATGGATTTTCCCAGCATGAATACACTGTATATTACTCCAGTCAAAGACATTACCCATATATATTATCATCAAAGAATAATTTTCCATTTTTGTGTTCATTAGATATTTTGCTTCCTTTTTTTCCCCTTATTCCCTCCATCCCGCCTGCCCATGAGCTCCACTCAGTGTATACCAAGCACTGGCACTCTGTGCACCACTTTAAACCCACTCATCTGGAGGGACAACAGGCTACTTATGTCTTTCAGCTACTGTTACATGTCACCATGGACGTGAGTATGCATGTACATGCTGAGTCCCTACTCCCAATCTTTTTGCACATATACCCAGAAGTGGGATTATTGGCTCTAATGGTAATTGTGTAACTTTCGAGAAATTGCTGTACTGTTTTCCACAGCAGCTTTGTCACTTAAAATCCTACCAGCAAAGTACCATTCCAACTTCTCCAAATCCTCTACAATCCTGTTGTTTCTGGTTTTCTTGTTTATTTATTTTCATTTGTTTGTCTGTTTATAATAATCATCGTCATGATGTGATTTGGTCCTGCCACTTTCAAGCACTTTCTTCTTTTTTTTTTGGAGAGGTTTTTGCTATAGGGTGCATGCTCTCGCCAGACAGACAGAGAGAGATAGAGAGACAGAAAGCGAGAAATCACCCCCCAGGGGGAATGGCCACACTGCAATCCCTTCTCCTCCATTCTCCTCTCGGGATCTTGGGCTCGCACGCACACGCGCCCGGCATGAGTTTTAAGCCACCGGGTCCGGGACATGAACCGTGGTCAACTACGTGGGAGTCCAGCGACATAGCCATTATGCTAACTGCTGGTCCCAATCACTTTCTTCTTTTCTCCAAAATTCAAGTCTCTCAGGAGCATCTGGGGAAGGGCTGCTCACTTAGCCCACGGGTTTCCTACTCAATGTGGGACCATCAGCTTGTCAGGAAGTTCCAAATGAGGTGTTATGTGGGGTTTATTTTCTCAGCTAGGCTGTAAGTACCTTAAAGGCAAGAATCCTTTCTTTCATTATTTATGTTACCTAGCAGAGCCTAATGTGTAGTTTTCTCCACAACAATACTGATCGAACTAACTACCAGTAAAACACCCAAAGATAAATGCAAAAAATTATCTGAGCTGCCACGGGCATTCTGACACCAAAACACTAGCCTGTCGTGTTTCTCAGAGCCAGTGCTTCCAAAGCTCGCTCACTGGCAGAGCTTCATAATTTATTTGGACTCACCAGAGTTTCTTCAAACTGCAGAGTGGATGTGTCAGTCCCACACACAGAAGTCTGATTCCAAAGTCTCCCAGGGCATTGTCGCTTAGATCCAGTTCCACCAGCTTCTGGCTGCTACTCAGGACCAAGGAGATGTCAAAACAGCACTGCTCGGAAAGGCCACACCGCCCCAACCTGCATGCCAAGTACAGAAGTGAGAAAGCATGAGAACAGGAACGTGGCCTGTGTCTGCCTGCCTTCACTCTGTATTCGATCTCTGTTCTCATGATGTGAATTATTATGGGAATGTGTGATCAGAGAGCTCCTGAGCACAGCCCACAGCACAGGGGTCATCTCCTAGGCTTCCTAGCTCACAGCGGAGACCACAGCGCAAAGTGTCCACAGCCAATGACACACTACAATCATCTCTCAGGTGTGTAACATACATCTCTGGCTTTCAATGAGGGAGATGAGCCTGTAAGCTCCTCTCTGTCTCACATCCCTGACAGCTGAAGCGCCATCAGCAGCTGGGTGCTGCTCTTGCTAGGGGTGAAAATATCTAGTCATCTGTGAGTTTGGTGCAGAAGTTATTGTGGTTGTCCATCACTGGAATTTGCTACTTGATATTGGATGTATTCTTAAATAAATGCGGTTATGTCATACATCATCTTGATGTGCATTTTTCACTTTATTTTGCTAATGATTTATTATTTATCATTTATTTTATATATATATTAGATTATGGAAATGATGTTAGACAAAAATAAATTCAAGTGATTTTCTTATTTGAGTTCAAAGTGGGTCGTAAAGCAGCTGAGACAAATTGCAGCACCAACAATGCATTCTCCCAGGAACTGCTAAGAATGTGCAGTGGTGGTGGTTCAAGAAGTTTCACAAAGGAGAGGAGAGCCTTGAGGATGAGGAGCACAGCGGCCGGCTGTCAGAAGTTGACAATGACCAATCGAGAGCCATTATCTAAACTTCCTCTTACAACTACATGAGAAGTCACTGAAGAACTCAGTGCCAACCATTCTACAGTCATTCAACATTTGAAGCAAATAGGAAAGGTGAAAGAGCTCAGTAAGTGGGTGACTCATGAGCTGACCAGAAATCAAAAACTATCATTTTGAAGTGTCATATTCTCTTATTCTACACAACAATGAATTATTTCTTAATCAGATTGTGACATGCAATGAAAAGTGAATTTTATATAACCAGAAATGACCAGCTCAGTGGTGGGACCAAAAAGAAGCTCCAAGGCACTTCCTGGAGCCAAATTTGAACCCAAAATAGTCATGGTATTGATGATAAAGTGTACAGAAATATCTTTGACTGGACTAATATTCATGTGTTCAGGTTGGGAAAATTCATTTTGTATGTTGTAAAGATGTTCAGTGATTAAATGTAAAATATATAAGAAAAGAAAGAAGAAAACTACCACTTCAAATATTTGACAATTTTTTTGCAGGGAATATGCTTCCATGACCAGCAGGATGCAGAAGATGCTTTCCAAGAGTTCGTTAAATCCCAAAGCATGGATTTTTATGCTATAGGGATAAACAAACTTGTTTCTCATTGGCAAAAAAAGTGTTTATTGTAATGTTCCTATTTTGATTATTAAAGATGTGTTTGAGCCTAGTTATAATGATTTAAAATTTATGGATCAAAACTGCAATTACTTTTTCATCAACCTAATACATTGTCCCCTCACCTCCCTATTCTATTTGACAATTTCATCCCAGTCCTCTATCTACAATAAAGGAAAAAATAGCTCTGATTCTGATATGCTTCATACACACATACCACTACCACCATCACCATCACCACCAAAACCAACAATTTTTTCCTATCTTGGGGACGAGAGCAGAAATTCCAGCTCCTGTGCACGCAAATAGATAGCTTTGTCCCCGAGCACAGACAAAAGCAGTGAGCCACTTTCCTTTCTGTCCTTATCTTAACACCAACTCCGAGCATATGAACAAGATCTCTGTTTATCTGCAAAGTAGCTCATTATTAGCCATGCTTTCCTGCTTGTGTTTCATTCTCTGGAATCATGGGAGATCCAGAGAGGTCAGTAGGGAGACTCCCATGGGATGAAGCCATAGGGCAAGGGCAGGTGCCCAAAACAGCAAGAACCTTAAAGTCAAGAGGAGGATTCATAATTTACGAAAGAGCAAAGAGAAAGCATTGAAGCAAGGGAATGGCACAACCACGTTAGAATTATCTAAATAACTCTGACTTTGCATGGAGAATGAATTGTTGGGGGCATGAGCAGACATATGGAGACCAAACAGCCAATATCTGTACAATATGCACGCTGCACGCTTGAGTACTACTGGGCACTAAGTTGCCTGCCCACACAGTACAGGAAAATGGCAAGACAAGCAATGTAACACCTATCTTCAAGGAGCTGATGGTAGGAGGTCACTGTAATGTCCAGGCAACTGGTAGTGGTTTTTGGACCTGGGTTGGTAGCATGAGGATGAGGAAAAGCAGCGGATGACATATCTACACATAGAATTAAGCAGATTGCTCATGTTGTGGGTATGATGAGCAAGAGGGGGAGGCATGCGAGTGCTCTGGAAAGGTGACTGGGATATCGATGATGCTGCTCAGCAGCGCAGGTGGCCCGCCTTGGGGCTCAGGAATTTGAGTCACAGAGCAGGAGACAGTGAGCACACTTTTAACAAGCCATGGGAGATTCCTTGTGACTTTTCAACTTATACGAAGTATTTTGATGGGTTCTAGTTCACATTTGATGAAACTCTAGTTCTCATCTGTGAGTTCAGTCCCATGAGGAAATAAAAGATATGGAAGGTCATGACCTTTCTGTTGTACTACCAAGAAATGACTCTCTTTTAGGTTCCCCTTCAGCCTTCCTCATCCAAACTTCCCAGTCAACAGGATTTCTCTCCATCCTGCCTTCCCACTTGCCGTGGGCTGAGCTGTGCTCCCTCAGAAATTCCTGTCTTAAAGCACGAGTTCCAGCAACCTTAGACTGAACAGAATCATTGTCTTTAAAGAGGTCAGGTGTTAGAATGAGGTTGTTGGTGTGGCCTAATCCAACCTGACTTGAGTCCTTGTGAGAAGAGGAGATTAGGACAGGCACACAGCAGGAAGACCACATGTAGGCACCAGGGGAAAGCAGCTGCATAAAGCCAAGTGGGGACTCAGAAGTAGCGACCTGTCAACAACATGATCTTGGACTCCCAGGTCCAGACAATGAGAAATACTTCTCTGTTGTTTATGCAACTCAGCCTGTGGTACTTTGTCACAACAGCCCCAGAAAACTAGTATACCACCAGGCTGGTCCTCAAGATCTTTCAGCTTTTCAAGTGTCTCTCTCTCTCTCTCTCTCCCTTCTCTCTCTCTCTCCTCTCTCTCTCTCTTTCACACACACATACTCTCACACATACATACACACGTGATGGGGAACTTACCACAATCTCTGAATGTTACAACCAGGGTGCCGAAGTGTCTCACACAACACTCTCATCCCTGGGTCCCCCAGAGTATTGTCACTGAGATCCAGTTCTGTCAGGCTCGGGTTGGTGCACAGAACTGAGAAGAGGCCACGGCAGAAACTGGAAGTGAGATAATTTGCTAATCTGGAAATTGGGAGGGAGAGGAGAGAAAAGAAAATCAATCTCTAACAATAATAAACTACAGTGAAGGACTGGGGTGCCTCGCAACAGTACAAGGAAGTTCTCCCAGTGGTTGGAAAATGGATCGGTGGTTGGCTTCATGGCCTGGTAGTTAGGCAGTTGGATCCCACATAACCAGCAAAGCAGTTCAAGTCCTAGATGCAGCGACTTGGGAAACGCTAGACACATGCGCACACACGCCCAACATCCAGGAAGAGGGAGAGATGGAGGGAAAGGAACTGAGGCATGACCATTTCCCAGAGGGAGGGATTTCCTACTTTCCCTCTCCCTCTCTCTGGCTCTCTTGGTGAGTGCACATGCCTTATGGTAATTTTTTTAAAAAAGAAACAAAACGGGGGAGAAGGAAATAGATTATGAAACAAAAGACCACCATATGGAGAGGAATGAAGAGAGCAAGTTGAGCCTTGGTAAGATCTCTGCATACTGCAGGTTGGGAGAGACACGACAGTGTGGGCCCAGTCCTTCCCTCATCTGTGCACACCACGCAGAGGCCTAGAAGGGGATCGCTCACCCCTGCAGCCCTATTTCTCTCCATCTACTCTCACCACATTTCTTTTCTAATGAAGCTGTGTCCCTCTCCACTGTCACCTACACACACTC